ATCTTGCTATATGGGAGACACTGGCTGCAGACCGTTCAGCCTGGAGGCAGTCTGTTCAAAGAGGTCTCTCCAAGTTCGAGGAGTCACTTGCCAAGGAATCGGAGGCAAAGAGACAGAGAAGGAAAGCCGGTAGCCAGGAAGACAGACCAGAATCGGACTTCGTTTGTGCTCGGTGTGGGATGGACTGCCACTCTCGGATTGGCCTCATCAGTCACACCAGACGCTGCACCAGGATTGACAACTAGGGCGCAACTCCATAGTCTCCCGAGACTGAAGGATGCCTACTACTTCTCTGTCTCTTTGCCTCCGATTCCTTGGCAAGTGACTCCTCGAACTTGGAGAGACCTCTTTGAACAGACTGCCTCCAGGCTGAACGGTCTGCAGCCAGTGTCTCCCATATAGCAAGATCGACGTCCATGGCTCTCAGGTCCCTCTTGCATACGTCTTTGTACCGTAGCTGGGGCTTGCCTGTTGGACGCTTTCCCTGCATCAGCTCTCCGTTCAGGAGATCCTTGGGGATCCTGCCGTCGCCCATTCGTACAACGTGCCCGAGCCAGCGCATTCGTCTCTGTTTCAGCATTGTATACATGCTGGTGATTTTTGCTCTCCCCAAGACGTTGTTGTTTGTCACCTTGTCCTGTCAGGTGATGTCCAAGATGTGTCGAAGGCAGCGCATGTGGTAGGCATTCAGCTGTCTTTCTTGACGGGCGCAGAGTGTCCAAGACTCGCTGCCATAAAGGAGAGTGCTCAGGACACAGGCTCTGTAAACCTAAATCTTAGTATACACAGTTAGCCTATTGTTAGCCCACACTCTCTTTGTTAGTCTGGATATGGTAGTAGATGCCTTACCGATGCGCACTTTACAGCCTACTATGCAAGGCCCGATTTGCCTAATAAGCCAAGTTTTCCTGAATTAATATATTTTCTCAAATTTTTTTCTTATGAAATGGTAAAGCTACCCATTTCATTATGTATGTGGTCAAATTTTTTTTATTGGAGTTAAAATTAACGTAGATATATGACCGAACCTAACCAACCCTACCTAACCTAACCTAACCTATCTTTATAGGTTAGGTTACGTTAGGTAGCCGAAAAAGTTAGGTTAGGTTAGGTTAGGTAGGTTAGGTAGTCGAAAAACGATTAATTCAGGAAAACTTGGCTTATTAGGCAAATTGGGCCTTGCATAGTAGGCTGAGAAGTGCGTTCTGGCTACTAGGTACGACATATATATATATATATATATATATATATATATATATATATATATATATATATATATATATATATATATATATATATATATATATATATACCTAGAAGGGGTACCACCTCTGGTGCAAGTGTAGGGACCCATAGCCTCGGAGAAGAAAATAAAGAGTACTCAGAGAAGACCTTGTGGATCCTCACTGAACACTTTGATATTTTCTTCTCCTACCATGCCTATTCTTTTGTTAAGTGTGTATATTTATCTAACTTTATTTGAAAATGTCATTACACAAAAAAGTTACAATATTGATTACATGCAGGGTACAAGGCTGCTTGTCACAAGTTGAAAAGCTCCTCCAGCTCCTCAGATGGCGGGCAGGAACCGTGGATGCAGTGAGCATTTCCTCTCTGGATTGCCACACTAAGGCGCTGAAAAAGAAAACTGGCAGCTCTAGGGTCTCTAGTTGTTTCGATTAGCTTAGACCCCAACTCTTTCAAAAAGCTAGCAGCACTTTTACCCCAGGCACCAAGTGTCTCTGAGGCAATGGGGACAAAATTGTAGTGGTGCTCAAGGTCTCTGTATTTACGTGACTTGGCCGCTTCCCGGTGATTGGCAGCTCCTCCTGCTTGTGTAGCACTGAAGTCAACATAGGTATTGGCTAAAGTTGAAACGCAAGTGTAGTCCCACACCAACTGTCTACCATTCTTCCAGGGGTTCACCGTAATTCCGTCTGGGCGACCGACAGGCTCATCAGAGTTGCAGGACATTAGGCAACGGGGCTCTCTCTCTCTGCTGGACAACCGGCTGTGGTAAGGCTTCTCTTAATAATGTCATTAACCTCACCGTGTCTTGCATGCCATCCTCCCGTCCTTTGGCAAAGAAGGCCATGCCGTCCATATCTGTCGGCCTCTGCCTCGCCGCAAATACACCTGTATTCGGTGTGGATTGGGGCAGCGAGGCGGAGAGCCACGGCAATTCGGAGGGCCTGCGGTGTGAGACGGGTGCCGGTTGCTGACATTGGGGTTGCTAATAGGAAATCACCTGCATGGGGAGCTGATACAGCTCTAAGTCGGGCAGTGTCATGTGGTGTTGTCGCAGCTTCTAGCACAGTTGCAGCTTCTTGGTCGGCAATGGGGCGATCCCAGCTGGATTGCTTATGGGCTTCAGAAGGCGGTGGTTGGGGTACTGGTCCTGCGAGAGAGACCCATTTGGTTGTGCAGTCTGTGAAGCTGGGATCATGCACCCCTGCCTGTTGAACTAGGTGCTCAGGTAGGATTTCCTTCACCAAGTTGTCAGACCCCACTGAAGAGGACAGGAACGCTGGTACAGCAATTTGTGTTGCTGTGCGCACGCCAAGGCCCCCGAGTCTGACAGGAAGGGAGGCCTGTTTCCACTGTGAGTCGCTGAGGGAAAGATTGAGGGCTTTTTCTAGTGTTGATTTCAGCAAGCTGTCATACTCTTCTAATTTAATATTGTTGAAAGATGGCGAACATCTTAGAAAGTAGGTCAGCCTGGGGAGGGACAAGCATCTGGTGATGAGGTAAAGTGCATCATGAGCATCGATGTCTTCAATCCTCTCGTTCATCCTCTTCAGGTCAGCGATCTTCTTATCGAGGACCCCGTCGATGGCATTTCTTCCAAGAGGAGCACCTAGGAGTGTGCTGTCCTCAGGGTTGGTTGTGTGAATGTCAGGCAAAACAACCTTTATTTGGTCTATTATGTGCTGGTTGGTGGAGGTTATTTCGCACTTGAAAGGGTTCAGGGTGAGGCCTAGGCTTGCTCCTTGCTCCTGGATTATTCTTATGTCGTCCAAGAGTGAGGCTGGGGAGCCGGCTAGAGTACCATCATCCAAAAACCAAATGTTGAGCTCACTGGACAGGTTATCGGTGACTTCCTTGATAACTAGGCAGAACAGAGAAGGAGCAAGGGGGTCACCTTGTTGGACACCTTCTTGTGATTCAATTTCATGTTCCCCAAAAAGCAGAGTTAGATTCTTGCTGTAGCATGAGTTTACAAACGGGTAGAGGGAAGGAAAAAGGCGATATATATATATAATATATATATATATATATATATATATATATATATATATATATATATATATATATATATATATATATACATATATATATATATATATATATATATATATATATATATATATATATATATATATAATATATATATATATATATATATATATATATATATATATATATATATATATATATATATGGTAATGATCCTCGAGGAGCAGAACAGAGGTTTATGGTGGATACACAGATATGTATAATGGGAGTGCTTGAATGCGGATTGGCGTGTAAGACAGAGTGTAAGGTGAGAGATTGATTTCTTCTTGTGTTGGGGAATATTTATGCAGATGTTTCTGGTGTTTCAGTCGCAGGCTGAGTTTTTTATACTTCTAGGGCTAAGTGTATAATATGGTTGTTGCGAGATTTCAACCCCATTTAGTGAGGGAGTAGTAAGTGGTAAGCCAAGAATTGAGCAGCCACTTAATATGGACAGTTGGTGAAGCCAGGATAAAAAATTGGATTGCTACCGGGTTGTAGCAGCTTTGAGTGTTGTATATTTCATTTTTGTACCTATCGTGTATTGTATATGTCTTCTTCGTTTGTTAAATGTTTGTTAGCTGGCTTTTGCTCTTGTCCTGGTGAGGCTTCCCAGAAAGCAGGGGAGAGAGAGATAGAAAAAAGAATCACAGCTGCGGACAGAGTGGCAGAGAGTACTTATTCGTAAAAGGAGAATTTAGGAGGTCATTCCAAACAATGAGAGAGTGGGGCGTGCTCACGCAGCAGTCGTAGTCACAAATTTCCAATGGAGGGGTGGGGCTTGCAGTTACTCACAAAGTTCACGCCGCTCACCATAACATAAGCCATGCCCACTTATTCCATTGACGATGTAGAGCATGCGGTACCTGGCCTACCTGACAGCTGGTGTACATCCTCTTACACCAGCTGGCAGGTGGCCTGCATGCTCTACGTCGTCAATCATCTTACTCAACCTGTGTGAAACTCAGTCCTTAGCATAGAAACTAGAGAACCCGATGACTCACACTGAGAACTTCAGTGTTAGAGTTTAGTAAATGATTGGAATTACCTTGACAAAGAGACCATCAGAGCCCTGTAGAAAAAAGAAGATTAACCCTTCAGTGTGCGTCTCTGGCCTGGACTTTCCACCTAAAAAAGCACAAACTGAAACTAATAATTAAATAAATAATAAAGATTTTTTCCGAGAGGTGAGTGTTCTATTTTGAAGTAAATGGCGAAGAGAACTTAATCTCATCATGTAGAGGAAATATGAAGCATATGAGATGCAATTACAATGTGTTAGATATTGAGAGGAACGAACGGAGGTAACACATGTCATGTTACAATATATATTCTCTACTAATAGACACCATTGATGGAAACTAAAGACACAGATGAGACATCGAGATGTCAGGATGAACTTCTTTAGCAATAAAGTTGCAAACAAATGTTTTGCACCACGAGAGAGACAATGTAGATGCAAATTCACAAGTAAATACAAGACTTATGAGAACTGAGAATTATTATATTATCTGATCTCAAAGCACTAAAGTCTTGTTTAGGGCCCCAATGCTCGACCCCGTAACCACTTGAAGGGAAGTACACCATGCACGCAGTCCATTATTTGCATTAAATCTATTGTCTAATTATTTACCAATAGTATCCTATAATCACTAATAAAATACTTCTGCCATACTGTGTTTCTTCATTCTGATGTTCTTTAATGTTTCCATTTTGACTTGCAGTTTTGATGTTCATGAGGTAATTAACCGCACCTGGGGAGTGGAGACGAATGGTACCTTCACGGGGACGATCGGTCTGCTCCAGCGAGAAGAAATGGACTTTTCCACTCTTACAGTACCGACGGCAAATCGCCTCAGAGTTGTTGAATTTTTAAATGCTTATCCTGCCGACACCTTATCAATAACCTCCCTCAAGCCAACGCTACTGCCTAAATCTCTCGCTCTCATACGTCCATTTGAAGGTATTTTTCATTGTAATGTTTTACAGATACAACTTTTGGGGCTGTCTTTGGAGTAAGTGATCTGTTCATATATACTGTCATTAACTCTGGCTACCTTAAATTGAGACAAATCTTTCGAGCAGCGGTGGAAGCTCATGTAAGTAATTGCTTGTAATTGCACACACATGCGTGACTTCCATATGTTTTGCCTGATGATGTTCTTAATACTCCCAGCCTTCCGTTGGTTTCGGTTGACCTGTGCCATCTCGTAGAGCGGGAATCAATGAGAGCTGACTGATACTATGGAAGACTCCAGTAGCGAGATGAGGCATTTCTGGCTACGAGGTGTGTCTTGGAGGGCGAATCAAGGAGTCCAAGACGGAATGTTACTTGTCCCTGTTGACCACAAACCCGCTGAACACTTGTGGAGTGGAGCTATCTCTCAAAATTAACTGTTTTTCCCTAAGGAAATCAACATACGACTGAGTGGATGAGCGTCTGAGGTGTCTACATGTTTGCCCATATGCCTCGGGATTTAGTTCATAGCCAATTAAAATTGAGTCTTTCACAAAGATATATTCAAAACACCGGTCCAAAGGTAAGGACGCAAAGATCTCCTGTGCCTTACCGGCCAATCTACCATGCAACCTAGCTACCCACTAATCTATGGGTCATTTAAGATTGGTTGCCCCTTTGGAGAAGTGATTAAAAAATGATCGGTGTCTGATTCTGTGAAAGGAGGTAAAACTACTTCTTTGAGCAAGTTAGCAGCAGCTGTGGAATGTTCATGTTCCTCACTTGGGTTTCCCTCAGCATCTAGCCTAGCTTGCACTAAGATCCATTGAGCAGCCTCCATTTGCTGCCGAATAACCAGTTGCTTAGTCTGTTTTTGTTGCAACTCCAACTCTAAACGTTTCAAAGCCACGGCATTACTGGATCCTTCATTTAACTCATCTAAAGCCTCTAGGGTCAACTCCTCCTCATCCACCAGGTGCTCCACAATGGCACTCCCACTCCTTGTTGACTTCTTCAACAAGGGAGTGGGGAGAGCGACTTCCAGTTTCTGGGAAATGGCCACAAGAACTGGCTTAGTGAGGCATTTTAGTTCCTTCACCGAAGGTTCCACTAAAACTTTGGATACAATGGCATCCATAATGAGGATATAAAAAAGGGTTCACTAAAATCACTGGGAAACTCGAAACACTACACAATTACTAATAAAGGGAAAAAACACTGACTACATGGCCAATAGCACAAGCAATGACACAGACCTTAATCAGAAATGATGGAAACTGGGTCAGACCCTCCCTCACAAAACCGTTCTTCTCCAGGTAAACCAATGGCACACAGTCAAAAACTCGAGAATCAGTACAGTACCTAGGAAGGCACTGAATTAGTAAGGCAAAGAAAATGTAAATAAATTTAAAATCACCGGATTGTTAATTAATTAATTAATTAATTAATTAATTCACTATCAAGGCAAAAGGAAGTGATAGCCGAGGGCCACAAGAACTGGCTTAGTGAGGCATTTTAGTTCCTTCACCGAAGGTTCCACTAAAACTTTGGATACAATCATCCATAATGAGGATATAAAAAAGGGTTCACTAAAATCACTGGGAAACTCGAAACACTACACAATTACTAATAAAGGGAAAAAACACTGACTACATGGCCAATAGCACAAGCAATGACACAGACCTTAATCAGAAATGATGGAAACTGGGTATAGGTAAACCAATAGTCAAAAACTCGAGAATCAGTACAGTACCTAGGAAGGCACTGAATTAGTAAGGCAAAGAAAATGTAAATAAATTTATATATATTATATATATATAATTAATTAATTCACTACAACTGAAAGGTGATTTGATAAAATGCTATGCCCAAGATTACCATCCGAGTGCCGGCGGGGAAGTGGTTCATATAGCCTCGGCTATCACTTCCTTTTGTCCGGTCGTGATGGTCAAGCGGATTAAGGCGTCCCTGTACATACCAGTTGTGGGAGTATGGGTTCGAGTCACTTCTGGGGTGTGAGTTTTCAGTTGTATATAGTCCTGGGGACCATTCAGGCTTGTTTGCATTTGTGTTCCTCACGTGTGCCCCAAAGAATGAGGTGATTTGATAAAATGCTATGCCCAAGATTACCATCCGAGTGCCGGCGGGGAAGTGGTTCATATAGCCTCGGCTATCACTTCCTTTTGTCCGGTCGTGATGGTCAAGCGGATTAAGGCGTCCCTGTACATACCAGTTGTGGGAGTATGGGTTCGAGTCACTTCTGGGGTGTGAGTTTTCAGTTGTATATAGTCCTGGGGACCATTCAGGCTTGTTTGCATTTGTGTTCCTCACGTGTGCCCCAAAGAATGAGGTGATTTGATAAAATGCTATGCCCAAGATTACCATCCGAGTGCCGGCGGGGAAGTGGTTCATATAGCCTCGGCTATCACTTCCTTTTGTCCGGTCGTGATGGTCAAGCGGATTAAGGCGTCCCTGTACATACCAGTTGTGGGAGTATGGGTTCGAGTCACTTCTGGGGTGTGAGTTTTCAGTTGTATATAGTCCTGGGGACCATTCAGGCTTGTTTGCATTTGTGTTCCTCACGTGTGCCCCAAAGAATGAGGTGATTTGATAAAATGCTATGCCCAAGATTACCATCCGAGTGCCGGCGGGGAAGTGGTTCATATAGCCTCGGCTATCACTTCCTTTTGTCCGGTCGTGATGGTCAAGCGGATTAAGGCGTCCCTGTACATACCAGTTGTGGGAGTATGGGTTCGAGTCACTTCTGGGGTGTGAGTTTTCAGTTGTATATAGTCCTGGGGACCATTCAGGCTTGTTTGCATTTGTGTTCCTCACGTGTGCCCCAAAGAATGAGGTGATTTGATAAAATGCTATGTACATACCAGTTGTGGGAGTATGGGTTCCAAGTTTTCAGTTGTATATAGTCCTGGGGATTACCATCCGAGTGCCGGCGGGGAAGTGGTTCATATAGCCTCGGCTATCACTTCCTTTTGTCCGGTCGTGATGGTCAAGCGGATTAAGGCGTCCCTGTACATACCAGTTGTGGGAGTATGGGTTCGAGTCACTTCTGGGGTGTGAGTTTTCAGTTGTATATAGTCCTGGGGACCATTCAGGCTTGTTTGCATTTGTGTTCCTCACGTGTGCCCCAAAGAATGAGGTGATTTGATAAAATGCTATGCCCAAGATTACCATCCGAGTGCCGGCGGGGAAGTGGTTCATATAGCCTCGGCTATCACTTCCTTTTGTCCGGTCGTGATGGTCAAGCGGATTAAGGCGTCCCTGTACATACCAGTTGTGGGAGTATGGGTTCGAGTCACTTCTGGGGTGTGAGTTTTCAGTTGTATATAGTCCTGGGGACCATTCAGGCTTGTTTGCATTTGTGTTCCTCACGTGTGCCCAATGAATGAGGTGATTTGATAAAATGCTATGCCCAAGATTACCATCCGAGTGCCGGCGGGGAAGTGGTTCATATAGCCTCGGCTATCACTTCCTTTTGTCCGGTCGTGATGGTCAAGCGGATTAAGGCGTCCCTGTACATACCAGTTGTGGGAGTATGGGTTCGAGTCACTTCTGGGGTGTGAGTTTTCAGTTGTATATAGTCCTGGGGACCATTCAGGCTTGTTTGCATTTGTGTTCCTCACGTGTGCCCAAAGAATGAGGTGATTTGATAAAATGCTATGCCCAAGATTACCATCCGAGTGCCGGCGGGGAAGTGGTTCATATAGCCTCGGCTATCACTTCCTTTTGTCCGGTCGTGATGGTCAAGCGGATTAAGGCGTCCCTGTACATACCAGTTGTGGGAGTATGGGTTCGAGTCACTTCTGGGGTGTGAGTTTTCAGTTGTATATAGTCCTGGGGACCATTCAGGCTTGTTTGCATTTGTGTTCCTCACGTGTGCCCCAAAGAATGAGGTGATTTGATAAAATGCTATGCCCAAGATTACCATCCGAGTGCCGGCGGGGAAGTGGTTCATATAGCCTCGGCTATCACTTCCTTTTGTCCGGTCGTGATGGTCAAGCGGATTAAGGCGTCCCTGTACATACCAGTTGTGGGAGTATGGGTTCGAGTCACTTCTGGGTGTGAGTTTTCAGTTGTATATAGTCCTGGGGACCATTCAGGCTTGTTTGCATTTGTGTTCCTCACGTGTGCCCCAAAGAATGAGGTGATTTGATAAATGCTATGCCCAAGATTACCATCCGAGTGCCGGCGGGGAAGTGGTTCATATAGCCTCGGCTATCACTTCCTTTTGTCCGGTCGTGATGGTCAAGCGGATTAAGGCGTCCCTGTACATACCAGTTGTGGGAGTATGGGTTCGAGTCACTTCTGGGGTGTGAGTTTTCAGTTGTATATAGTCCTGGGGACCATTCAGGCTTGTTTGCATTTGTGTTCCTCACGTGTGCCCAAAGAATGAGGTGATTTGATAAAATGCTATGCCCAAGATACCATCCGAGTGCCGGCGGGGAAGTGGTTCATATAGCCTCGGCTATCACTTCCTTTGTCCGGTCGTGATGGTCAAGCGGATTAAGGCGTCCCTGTACATACCAGTTGTGGGAGTATGGGTTCGAGTCACTTCTGGGGTGTGAGTTTTCAGTTGTATATAGTCCTGGGGACCATTCAGGCTTGTTTGCATTTGTGTTCCTCACGTGTGCCCCAAAGAAGGGGTGATTTGATAAAATGCTATGCCCAAGATTACCATCCGAGTGCCGGCGGGGAAGTGGTTCATATAGCCTCGGCTATCACTTCCTTTTGTCGGTCGTGATGGTCAAGCGGATTAAGGCGTCCCTGTACATACCAGTTGTGGGAGTATGGGTTCGAGTCACTTCTGGGGTGTGAGTTTTCAGTTGTATATAGTCCTGGGGACCATTCAGGCTTGTTTGCATTTGTGTTCCTCACGTGTGCCCCAAAGAATGAGGTGATTTGATAAAATGCTATGCCCAAGATTACCATCCGAGTGCCGGCGGGGAAGTGGTTCATATAGCCTCGGCTATCACTTCCTTTTGTCCGGT